CTGGGAGGCAGAGGCAGAGGCAGAGGCAGGCAGATCTCTGTGAGTTCAAGGCCAGCCTGGTCTACATAGTGAGTTCCAGGACAGCTGGGGCTACAGGGAGACCCTGTCTCAAAAAGAACCCCCCCCAAAAAAATAAAATAAAGTGTTAGTGTAATAAGAGTCACCTGATATTTGACAAAGATGCCAATACACATTGGAAGGAGCACCTTCAACAAATGGCGCTTGAAACTGGACGTCCATGTGTAGAATGAAATTAGAACCATATATCACCCTGCAGAAAAATCAACTTCAGATGGATCAGAGACCTCAAAGTGAAACCTGAAATGTATGTATGTATACAGATTTATCAGCTTAGCTCACAGGGTAGAGTCCGAGTAGTCCAATGATGGCTGCACCACACTGGAGAGGCTGAGAATCTGTAGTCGCTCAGTCCACAAGGCTGGATGTCTCAGTAGTCCCAATCTGGTGCTGAAGGTCTGACAAATTCCAAAAGATCAGCTAGTCTTCAGTCTACAGCAGCAAGACGAACCCACCAGCGAGAGAGAAGGCAAGCAGCAAGAAGCCCCCCGTTCTCCTCTGCCTTGGTCTTTTATACTGGCTGCCATCAGAAGGTAACGCCCACATTTAGGGTGTGTCTTCCAGCTTCAGATGATCCAATCAAGAAGATCTCTTTCATTTCAGTTAATCCCAGATCCAGTCAAGTTGACACCCAGAATTAGCCATCACAGGCCCTAAACTAAAAAGCTTCTATATGGCAAAGAATCAGCTGAGTAAATAGGAAGCCCCACAGAGTGGGAGAGAATCTTTACCAGCTGTATATCTGATAGAGAACTAGTTTCCAGAGTATACAAAGAACTCAAAAAACAAAGAACCAAGGAAACAAATGACCCAGATCTTAATAGAGAGTTCTTAAAAGAAGAAACAAAAATGGCTAAGGAATATCTTCTTTAAAAAAGTATTTTTATCGAGTTTTTATGCATTTCATACAAAAATATCTTAATCGTCTTTAAACCCCCTTTGCGATGCTATTTTTCCTTCCTCTGTTAAGCTATGCTCATGATACAATTTTTCCTGTAGCTAGTAATATCCATCTTTCACTCTAGAGAACTTTACTCTTCAAATTTCCCATCTTAAATTTCAAATATAATTTCCCTTATGGAAGTTGTAACTGTTTGACAGGTAAGGTGTATATGATACTCATTCACACACAGCTTTGAAAAGCAAACTTTCCATGTTCTGGGGTCTGTATAAATTTTCATTGTACTTCTTTATGGGCTCTATCTTAGAATTTCAAAGATTTGGTTTTCAGTATAAAATATATGCTATTAAGTGAAACAATCTCCTTCTAAATTTATTTAAAACTGTTTTTTTTAGGACAAGTGTTTAAATTGATTAGAAAAGGATTCACATCATGCATGTTTATACCCAAATAAATGTAAGACCACTAGCCAAAATATTTCAAAATGTTTCTCAGAATACTTCATACTGCATGCATTTCCTTGTTTCTCTTGCGTGTGTGTGTGTGTGTGTGTGTGTGTGTGTGTGTGTACTTAAGTCAAACATTCAGTGATATTTTTCCTTTTAAAAATATTTATTTTCAGGGCCGGGCATGGTGGTGCATGCTGTTAATCCCGGCACTTGGAATGCAGAAGCAGGCAGATCTCTGTGAGTTCAGACAAAAAAATTTTTTTTTCTTTTTTGTTGAGCTTCTGTACAATTCATACAACAGTTCTTAATCAAATTTAGACCCCCATGATGCCCGCCTCCACACACACACCCCCGGACCTCATGCATTCTACCATACATATTACATGGGAATCCTCCCATGGACATTGACTCAATCACTCCTAGATTACTTACAATGTCCAACACAAAGCAAATGCTGTGGAAATAACTGTTTCACTGTATTTAGGAACATGTTCAGCAGAGATATCATTTCCTATAAATAGTTTGGATTCAGGATTGATTTTTGATTGACCATAAAGATATGGAAGGCCAACTGCAATCTATTCAGTCATACTGTGTATAACCCATGACAGCAAAGGGTAGCAAGCAGGGGACAGCAGTCTACATGGGGGGTACAACATGGCACCTGGGAGGTGTGAATGCTCACTGTGGGGGTCCCACTGGAGGGGGATCACAGGCATGCCAAGCAGACACATTCCTGTGCCAAGAATGGGAAGTCAGCGCCCTGGCCGGGGTGCAGAGATAGAAGTAACTGGCCCTGGTCATGGAAAGGGCCTTGCCAGCGGTGTGAAGAAAGTCTGCTGTCTTCTGCAGTTAGGAGGCCCCATCAGAAAGGTTGTCTCTCTACTTGCAAATTTCCCAATTCCTTTGGTATCAGTACAGAGGTTAACTGGAAAATGTCGGGCTATAGGCGGGAAATCAAGTTGGGGTTCTGCTGCAGGGGACACCAGAAGGAGAGAATGGCATTCATTTTATTTAAAAAATAAATCCATTACCTGCTGACATAACTGACATGTCTTAATGAATAACTATTTTACAAGAATGGAAGAAAACCAGTAGAAGAATGCCATTGCCTTACAGTCAGTATTCTGAAATACACTGCTTTGGCCGGAGTACACAGAGAAGATCCGTCTGACACAGATTTTGGAAAATGAATGAAAATTTAAGTCTGTAGAGGTAATGGTGGGCACTCTGGACTCTACAAGCTACCCCACAAGTGACAGTTCTTTAAGTCTGTAGAGGTAATGGTGGGCACTCTGGACAATACAAGCTACCCCACAAGTGACAGTTCTTCAAGTCTGTAGAGGTAATTGTGGGCACTCTGGATAATACAAGCTACCCCACAAGTGACAGTTCTTTAGTTAGTTGCAATGTCGAATCTGAAACCATTTCATCATTTTATGCTGTTGTACTGGTCTAGCCTGTACTCAGAAAGCATCTTATGGCCGTATATAATTTTTAAATCCCAGCACTTGGGAGGTGGTGGCAAGAGGATCAGAAGTTCAAACTTGTCTTCAGCTACATAGTGAGTTTGAGGCCAGCCTCAGATACATGAGAGACTGACTCAAAAACAGGCTGACTAGACTCTGTGGATGGAATTGCACTGGGGAACAGCTGGGGACAATGACAACACAGTGGGCCTTAACAGGGATGACAAAGTACATGGGCTCGGGGGGGGGGGGACTATGGGAGGGTGCCAGGGGGGACAGGATTATAAAGATGTTAAGATGGTTTGAGATGTTCTGTATGAAATGCTTTGTAAATTTAGTCTTTCCAAAGCAATTTATTCACTTCTTTATAAATTGCCTTATCCTATGATTTGACTGTTTGTAGCCTGAATGCTATGTTTCAAATTTGCTTTGTAACTACATTAAAACCATCCCTTAAAAATGTTGAAATGTTTTTTTTAAGACAAAAAAAAGATGTGGGGAGGTCAATAATTAAAACTTAAAAATCAAGCATTGATCATTTAAAAAATACTGGTTCACTACTTGTGCAAATCTTCTTTCCAATGTTAACGCGCTTCAAAACGAAAGATCAAAAGTCAATTCATTATTATTTATTCATTGGGGAAAAATAGGGTACAGAACCTTGTAGGAATCTGTCAGGCTCACAGTGCCCTTTAGTGTAGAAACCTGCATCCATGGAGTTCCAGATACGTGCATCTAATTGCTGACTTGATACCTCGCCACTCAACCCAAAGATTCAGTGTGAGGAAGTCATGCTCAGGCCTTTGCCTCAAAGCAGGTCCATAGCCATGTCTACCAGGGAACAACCAGCACTATGCAACACAGAACCTCTGTCATGCATTTCTTTTGCTGTGTCCTTCCCCACAGGTCCATGGCCAGAGTTTGTCAATGTGACTTGATGGCAAGCTACAGCCACGTCTGGCAAGCAAACGCCACAGAACCACCCCACTCCCCACCAAGTGGAAACTTTTGAACTGGGAGCGTGTTTGGTGGTTCTGGTAGGGGAGCACAGCTACGTGCTTGTCTTTGACTGAAAAAAAGGTTCTCCTCTGTTGGGGAGGTTGCCCTTGTCTACTGAGCACAGAGCTTTGAGAGGGAGACACACATAGAGAAGGGGGAATGTTCACCTGTCAACTCTGATCAGCCCAAATCAACCCTGGTGACCCGCAGGGTGACAGATGTCACAGACAGCCCTCAGATCCCAACATAGGCTGAGACATCAGGAAGTTTCCCCACAGATGGTTCAGCCAGAAATCAAGGGCTTAGAACGTGGACATCAGCCCTAGGTGACATGGTATAGTGAGCCACTGATCAGTTCCTTTTATGGTGGCAGAAGCTATCCTTTCCTTTTGAGTCTAGACTTGGAGCTGACTGGGCATGTCAGGTGCTCAGAAAGGCTGTCAAGATTTCAGTTTGGTACCTTAGAGACATGGTGAAAGAAATTGTGGGTTTCTCCAAGAACAGAATATTTCCCCCTAGCAACCCCAGTATAGATCCAGGGGTTTCTGATTCCTTCAAGTGACTTCCTGTATCACTGAAGCTTATTGGAACCAGAAGGGATGTTCAGATGTGAACCCTGTCCCCAAAAGGAAGCTCTAAAGGCTTCTGAACTGTGTGTAGTCAACTGTTGATGTTGCTTTGCAGCCTTCTCCTTCCCTGACCAAAGGAAGCCAAGACAGCAGACCCTGGGCCACTTAAATAAAGTAAAAATGGGCTAGAGAGATGGCTCAACAGTTAAGAACACTGGTTGTTCTCTCAGAAGACTGAGGTTCGAATCCCACCACCCACATGGTGGTGAACAGCCACCCCTAACTCCAGTTCCAGGGGATCTGGTGCCCTCTTCTGACCTCTATGGGCACTGCATGACGCAGGTGCACTTACACACATGCAGGCATAACAACTCATAAACATAAAATAAAAATAAATAAAAAATAAAGTAAAATCAACCAAAGAGCATCACTCCTGGAGGGCTGCTCCCCAAAGCAGCTCTTTAATCTCTGCAGTTAACTGAACCAAGCCCAGCCTTTGGGCATGGAGTTAGGAGTGAAATAAAAAATACACGCATTTTTCTAAGTAGGAAATTTATTTGATCAAATGCCAATATATAAGAGAATTTAAACTATAAAGCTATAGTCAAAGATCTTCATTATGAAGTGAACGTTATTAACGTAAATGGGACCTAAAACCAATTTCCTATAACATGCCTATATAAAGCATTCATGAAATCCTTCATTTTAAAACAGAAAACTTATAAAAGGTACTTGAAAAGTTTCTTAAATCATGACACTTAAAACTATCTCACTGTACACAAGGTGTTAGAAGGGTTTGTGGTAAAACATGGCTACCACCAGGGGCAGTGTTGTCCTAGGAGTCGTAGAACTGAACTGCTCTTGTGCTTAACCCCACACCCTGTCAAGCCCTGGGGACCAGGAGTAGGTGGGAATTTTAATCACTCTAGTGGCTGACAGAAATGGATGTTGGGAACTGGAGAAAAGGAAAGGGAAGGGAAACTGGGGTGTAGAAGGGTCAAAGGTTTCTGTAGTTTTAGAAATGACCAAACAAATGGATTTAGATAAAAAGTGAATCCTCCGAACCACACTGTGGGAGTAGCACACTTAGCCAGCAAAGGCAGGACTGGGTGGCGGAGAGCCACCACCTTCTAGCATGGAACCTTTACTGGAGGAATGCAGACTATGCAGGCCACATCAGCTTTCTACAATGATTTTTCCAGCATCCAAGTGCCTCTGTGTTCAAGATCACAATGAGACCCAGAAACTGAAACTGTTAGGAAGGCCTGGGTAATAAAATCACGAAAGCTTCAGAAACACGGAAAAGCCAGATCCGAAGGCGGAGTCTCAGTGCACACTTGGAGCAGCGGGACACAAATGATGTCCATAGAGTGCAATGGAATGACAGGGAGAAAAGGAAAGATTTCAGAGAGCTAAGGGTACTAAGACAGCTATACAGCACCCATTGTTATGAATGTAAGGTAGACAGATATCACTGAGGGTTTATATTATATCTGTTCTATCAGTTTTATAAAATAAATATTCTGAGGGCTTTCAAAATATATACATGACATGTTCTAGTATAAATATTATACTCCAGATTCATACAATTGGCTTGATGCTACATTTAAACAGATTTGGGGATGTAGATAGAATAATTTCTGCAAACCATTTTCTGATATTGATCGCATAGCTAAATGAAGGCCCAAAATCAGTGGAAACATATTAGGGATTTGCAGCAAAGGTGTATCTATTAATTTATGCTTTGTCCAAAAATACACTTGCTCTTCTGTATCAATGAATTTAAAGTCATCTTAGATCTTGTGCTTAAAACTCTTCTCTTTTCTTATCTCCTACTGTGCAATCAAGTATGTGGAAGGACTACTTAACGGCTTAGGGCTCCTTTTCTCTGAGTCTCTTTGTCTTCCTTGGAGATATGTCTTTAAGAATAGTTTCAAGTTTCTCGTTCAGCCTAAGTGGCTTTCTAAAGATTCCTAACCTTGAGATTATGACCTTCATTATCAGTGACACTGATATACACACACTTCAGTGAAAATAGTAAATGATTCTACATTAACCACTTTTAGCAGTGTGCTTTTAAAACAGGTTCATTCCCAGCACAACAGAAAATACTTTTCAACAAAACCAGGCAGATCAGTCAAGATGACCTTTTCACTATCCAGGGTTGAAAAAGTGAGCTGAGCCAGAAGGTGAGACGGGATGAAAAGTCGATGGCAGCACCACACCCGTGAAACGCAGCCACAGCAGAACCTGATACTCTTCTCGGGGCTATCATTTCCAGAGTGACTCTAAATTAGCTGTCTGCATGGGTGGGCTAAGCAGGCTGCTGACCGTCCCCCAAGTTAAAGGAAAGCCATACTATCACGTGCCACGTGGGGTCATGGTACAGAAAGATACTTCTCCTGGTTAACAGCTACAATCTGGAAGCCAAGACTACATCACCACTGCTCATTCCTCCTAAATTAATTCCTAACTTTGAAAGAGCTTGCTCAGTTAGTAAAATCAATCAACCTTTTCATTTTGGCTTGGTTCAACTGAAACTATTTTATTTGGAAGTTTTCCGTGCTACTGAACATGATGGGGGACTACCTCGAAGCTGGATTCTAGTACATGAAACCAACATGAACGGGCAAGACTAGCACGGCCCACCACCGAGTCTCAGTCAAGTGGCCTGGCCCCTGTGCCACTCTACAGAAGGATCGATGATTTAGGCAAAATCTTTTCATTTCCCATAGGCTAAGTATCACTGGTTCCTAAAATGTGACTCTAGCAAAAAAAAAAAAAGAGAGGGATCTAGAACTTAGCCCTTACAAGGACCACACAGTACATGATGCTCTTATCACAGCTCTGCAACTAGCTGGCTTTTTAAAACACAAAAAACAAAAAACCACAACGTTGTTTTGTATGAGACACAATCTTGCTAGGTGGCCCAGGTAGACCTCAAACTCTCAGCCTTTGTGCCTCAGCCTCCCAAGTGCTGGTATCAGCCACCACACCTGGCTTAGTATACTCTATGCTTCTAGAAGAACAATCTCCAGAACCAGACCAAAGAACAAAGCTGATTCCAGCAACCTCATCCTGTGGCACTTGTTCAACCTCTGGGCAACCCCCAGCTCCCTGACCTCCATGTCAGGCCTTTCTCACATCTGAGCATGTGACCAAGATGGTTCTAGATCATAAGGAAGCTGAGTTTAGCTGAAAGTTGGCACTAGTTCAGAAAGGCCTTCACTCGTTAGCACTTCTGCCTCAGCTTTCAGATTTGCTGATACATGACAGGACACAGGAAATCTGAGCATGCTTCTATGAGGTGGTCACTATGTGCTATCTGCACTGCCCAAAGAGGGTGACTAGTGGAGAAACACTCCTGGCCTGGTCAGGAACAAAACCACACAAATCATATCTTTCTCTAAAATTTGCCATGAGAAAATCAAGTGAACAAAGGGTCAGATTTTTAATGTTACCTCAGCCTCGATTTCAATTTACATTGCTACATTATCAAAAGAACAACTTGTTCTAAATTACCATGGCAGAGAAAAAATTATCTGTGATAAAAATGAGCCACAACTTGGCTAAGTAAGTGAAAAGGCATTTGTGTTACAGGGCCCTAAGATTCTTTAAATTAAATCATATCTCTACTGTGAAAATATATGTATCTCGAAATAGAACAAGGTTAGCCAGAAGGCTCAGTTAAACTGGAAAAGCCAGTAGGAAGGACAGGTAAAAGACACTTCTCATCTGTGGTCTTCTCTCGCTTTCCTGTGCTTTGACTCTCCTGATCTGGACAGACAGATGCCAACAACTTAGAAGTCACAGCAGAGTGCTGGGACTGGTCAGGATCTTGTCAGGGCAGCCTCCATCTGCATCACTTGAGTTCTGATCAAGGCAACCGACGGGCTTTAAGTGTACTGGACACCGGTACAAAGACCTCATCATCATCTTCTACCCCTTCCTCTATTGGCTTCATCTTGGCAGAGGATCGCTGCTGCGGGGAGGACACATCTGTGAGGAAACAAAAGGAGATGCTGACTGCATTAATGACCCCACGCGGGTAAACTCACCTGACAAAGAAAACTGCCTGGACACCAGAGGGAGTACCAGGAGTGCAACACCTTTACGTGTGTTTCCAATCTGGCAGCTCAATGAACGACAGTCCAGAGCGAGATTCTTGGAACAGATGTGGAGCAGTATGCTTGGGTGGTATGAGCTTCTTAAGCACACAGATCTCCCATTTATTATTTTTACCTGTGTGTATGAGTGTATTGCCTGTATGTGTATAAGTGCACCTGTGTCATGCAATGCCTGGAGCAGTCAGGAGGAGGTGTCAGATCTCCTGGAGCTGGAGTTACAGATGGTTGTTAGCTGCCAAGTGGATGCTGGGATTCAAACCCGGTTCTTCTGCAAGAGAGTCAGTACTCTTAACTGCTGAGCCATCTCTCCCTAAAATACATTTTTTTTCTACAAGTTCAGCCACTTCCTGAACTGATATGAGAGGGACTGACAGCGCAAGTTCAGCACTGAGGAGGAAAGTAGGTGCCGGGTGGAAGAAACGCAGCCCAGGCACAAACAGCCCAGGTACAAACAGCCCCAGGTACAAGCACAGCTCCAGGTACAAACAAACAGCCCAGGTACAAACAGCCCCAGGTACAAACAGCCCAGGTACAAACAGCCCCAGGTACAAGCACAGCTCCACACAAGTATAGCCCCAGGTATAAACAGCCACAGGCACAAGCACAGCCACAGGCACAAGCACAGCCCCAGGTACAAACAACCCCAGGTACAAGCACAGGCCCAGGTACAAACAGCCCAGGTACAAACAGCCCCAGGTACAAACAGCCACAGGCACAAGTATAGCCCCAGGTATAAACAGCCACAGGCACAAGCACAGCCACAGGCACAAGCACAGCCCCAGGTACAAACAACCCCAGGTACAAGCACAGGCCCAGGTACAAACAGCCCAGGTACAAAC